CGACAGAATACTAATAGTCTAGGATAAGGATGAAAATTACTACGTCCATAGCGTAGTTAACCAAACTTAGATTATTACATGCATTTGTGAATAGGAGAATATATTTACGAGAAGGTGCCAGTCAAAATGTGGCCGCAAATATTTTCAATTAAAAAAAGCGAGTGTGCTTCGAACCACACGACTGAAGTAAAACTTCTTCAGCTCCATCTGTATGTATGTATGTACTTACAATGGCTGTGTCTGGGCAACCAAATAAAGTATAAGAAATCTGAAAACAAATTTCATAATAATTGAGTTAATATGGAATTAAAAAAAAATTTGAACTAACGGAGAATTATTTTCAAAATTGGTTTTTCATTGTCAAGCATAACTGAAAAATTTCATATAAAATTCCAGCTAGGTTAAGTTTACTACAAGGATCGAATCTAGGACCACTTCTGTTCATAATTTTCATCAATGATTTATCGTCAACTCTGAAATATATAGATTATCTTCTTTTTGCTAATGATTTCAAACTTTTCAAATTAGTTCAAACAGTCCGAGACTATATATAACAGCTGAAGGATATGAATAACATTTCAGATTGGAGTTTGAAGAATAAAAGTTTTATTGTATTATCGCAATTCAGTACTCGCTTTGCTTATTACGAGAGGATTTATCGCTGTTTCACCCAACCCTACGATCTACAAACACAAGACGAGGTAGACTGTACGGAATTATTCAATCCAGAGCGGTCATGAGTCTTGAATCTGCTATTTTCCTGCTCACGGAGAGTATTCAACAATAATCCCAAGAATTCGGAACAATCCTCTTGTTGTCCTAACGAGTATCTAGTGGACTTCAAAGACTGTACGAAATCGCTTGGTGGGAAAGATGATACATTCTACCGAAACTGCAGCTGCATGAACAAGTGTTTGAGTTTGGTGAATGAGTAGGAAACAAACGTTAATAAACGCTTTCTTGCGAGCCGTCGTAAATGCTCCCAGATACATACCAAATAGATTCATATACCGCGACCTGGACCTGAACATCCACTACGTAGACGCGTATATGAGAGAATACGCAGAAAACGTGTTCGAAAGAGTTCGATAACATACCAGTCCATTTTCATGAAGATTCCGAGAAAGACACAAACACAAGAGGCCAACGAATCAAAACCAGAAAAAACCCCGAAAGTCGCTGTCACATGGCTCCGGTAAGTATGAAAATTGTACGAACAGACCTCACATTCACTTCTTTTTAAGATCATAGACAAACATTAATTCGCGACCAGAAGACACTTGTCTCCGGTTAGTTTAATAGGGCCCTATGCAAAAATTACATTCAGTAAAGTCACGTTAAATGAAAATAACAGATGAAGGAAGTGAAAGCAATTAGAGGCTGACTTTCGACCACAGCAGGTCAGATGTCAATCTTACTGATATGCCCATCAGCAGGTTGAGGTCCGCTCTGCAATGGATGGGGTTGGATATGGACGAGATTCAAGCTTCTGCACACAGTAACTGTAAGCCTTGACTAAATGCTAAAGCTAGCGAAGAGATTGGTACCATATGGAAACCTCGAACGAAACGAAAAACGACCAACTTCCGCCAAACGGTCATCTCCCGCTAAAACCAATAAAGCGGGGAGAGGAAAGAGGGGATAGGTGAAAGCACTCGAATGACCTATAAATAGAGTCAGATCTCGGATATAAGTCCAGTTATCACCTGAAGACGATTGTGGATACTAGCAATCGAAACGTCGTGACGTAACTTGGTTTGGAATCTTTTAATTTTGATTTTTCATTTTTTGTTAATAATTTTTTTTTATTTTCAGGTTGTATTAATATTTCTATTTTTTATTTTTTTGGTTGTTGCTTGTATGTTATTTCTTTGTCATTTCAGTTTTTTGTTTAATATAATTATTATTTTTTGGTTAATCTTTGTAATGATTTACAAATTTTTTTAGGGATTTCAAATCAATTCATATTATATTAGACAGCGGAAGCCCGAACTGATGAAATACACAACGAAACATTGTCAACCACCTCCAAACAAACGGGAATATTAGTTTCATTCGCAATCATTGAGACGCAAGCACTTGAAAAGCGTAAATGGGTTGACCTGTTCAGCCCCAAACTATGGAGTGTTGAAGGCGATGGCTCAACACCGGAATCAATTTATCGAGCCATATGAACATTCTTGGATAGGCTGCAGCAAGACCTACATTCACTGGGGATGCGAAAAATAATTTATGTGGTTGAATTCACAACTCGATAATGTACGCATGTAATTATCGTCTATATAAATGCAAATAACCACCAGGTCATGAGCTTGGTGAAGTCTTATCAATACTTCGAAATATTCCACAAGATATTGACTCCTACCGAAATTCACTAACGAAAATTTATTTTCAATGGAATGAAACCTTCTATGAACAGATAAATGAAGTGGCCATGGGCAGTCCATTTAGCTCAGTAGTGATGAATTTCTACATGAAAAAAATTAAATAAAGAACCGTTCAATTAGAAAAACGACCAAAAAACTGGTTGGGATATATAGATGACACGTTCGTTTTTTGGTGACATGAAAAAAAAAAAAAGAATTCCAGAACTTCCTGAATTAACTTCTTTTTCTATATAGAGACATTTAAAAATCCAGTTCACTATGGAATTGGAAGAACACCTCCAAATCCCATTTCTGGATGTTTCATTAGTCATCGATACCTACATTATAAATCCAACCATCATCCAAAACAGGAGCGAACCTTCATTAACACTCTATGTGGAAAAAAGTACGTCTACGATGAAATAGAACACCTAACAACTGTGTTACAAGCGAACGGCTACAACAGAAAAGACATAATCTGTGCTACGGGAGACGAAGAGGAATACCAGTGGGGAGCTACCCCAAGGCAATGTCTATCTACCATACATAGAAAGTGTCACCAACCGATTCGGGAAAATTCTTGATAAGGAGAAAATTAACACCTTTTCCAAACTAACGAAAAGAATATCGGAGTGTCTGAGATCAGCAAAAGAAAGAAGAGATCCATTCAAATTTGCGGGAGTTTACAGGATTCCACGTAACAGTGGTGAAGTTTGAATCGGTCAGAAAAAAGGAGCGTTGATACCCGCCTAGTCGAGCACAAATGAAGTTGCCGATAGGAACAGAGCAAAAAGGCTGCAGTCGCTGAACATGCATTGTCCAACAGCGAACACAAGATCTTTTTTTAAAATACCGAGATGGTAGCCATAGAAATACACAAACACCAAGAGAACTTCAACAGAAAGGAAGAGAGAACATATCAAAGATCTGGCACACATCATTGAATTGCGCCAAAACGAAGTCATGTCACTCAAATCGCGCGGAAAGTATGCCACACCACTGAAGATGACTGCCGCAGTTGTAGTTGAAACGTTTGGAACCATCCATCAAGCTATTCGCTTGAGGGATGGTCATGTGTCTTTTGTTCGCAATCATGCAAAGCACAATATACAATAATTAAAGGATTCAACGTGATGAACAGATCAAAATCAAATTATAGTTACAGACATCTAGGATGCACTGCATTCATGCACCTATCTAGATTAGTGTGACATCTTGAGAATGTCGTAGAATAGATCGATTCTAATTCTGGTGTCTGAATTGCGGATGAGTATATTAGGTACGTATCCATATGGAACCAAATCGAGAAATAGGCCAAGAAAAAAAAAAAGAAAAAAGTATTTCGCCAGAGCTACCCACTGGACATTGTCCATCTGAAATTTCTTATAAAACGGAAAACTCAGCTCCAGCAAAGCAACAAAGACAGATCATCATATCTTGAATGTGGTACACGGGATCATAGGTGCATCGCAATTCATGTACAACCAAAATTATGTCCAGGTAAATATGGCATACATCCAGCATAGAATCTTCACGAACTTCAATCAGGGACATAGCTGTATTTGAGTGGATAATTCAATTATAAAATTAATAAAACAAAAACAAAAATTAATTGGCACTCCGGAGCGACTTCATTGATTCCAGTGGCGCATTTGCTTTTTCAGCTGCAGAAAAACCTGCAGAATCACATCATCTGAAAATCTTGATATGTCAGTGTCCTCTCTTCCACAAAACAAAATGTAGGTTGACTCCAGAGGCTCCAATAGATTCAATGCATCGCCAGAACACTTAGTGACACGACTATCATCAAACTTTGACCAAGGCGTAATAATGACCAGATTCAACGCCAGAACCACAGTGAACAATGACTGCATGAAGATTATAAGAGTGGTCTGTAATTGAAGTGCTCATCTATTTCGAACCTTCGCAAGAGTTTGCTGCTTTCGTCAGAGGTTGAGTCATGTTTGAAGATCATCAGTGTTATAATTAGATTGACTGGTGCCTCAGCTATACTTGTTTCCTTATAACAGTCAGTTAGTTTGACGCATGTTTGGTAATACAGTCGATCACCACCTGTTGAAATTTCCATTTTCAGATTATTTACCAAAAATCTTTGCACGAACTGATTATTAGTCATATTAGGAAACGCTAGTCGAAGTTCCAGAAATTCACATACGTTTTTGCAACCCCTTGAGCATTTACTACTAAGTAGTTTAGTGAAGATTTTTCCAGCAAAAGATTTACGATCTAGAACACATAACAAGATTTTTGACATGGTTGTGAATCGGACTGAAATGTCAATGAGCCCATGAAGACTAAGAATGAATGGTATCCCAAATAGGAAAAGGATAGTTCGAAAGGAATAATTCATTCAATAGAATAAATGATTTTTGCGTAAACTCACAAATATAATCGCCTTTGAAATTATTTTTTCACTTCTTGTGTGTCTTCATCGATAAAAAACTCCATTCACTACACATAAATAAAATTCTCGATTTTTTCCATCGAATAGTGACCCACATTTATCTCTTCTTCCACCCTCTTTGTCATATATCAGAACTAACGACAAAAACACTAAAACATCAGAACTCGAGAATTCGTTCGAGCGCAAAGGATTTATCATAAAGTACTTACGCGGCTTCTTCCACGACCGTCGCAAGGATGAACTCCGTGCTCTTGTCGTTCGAGATGACGTGACATTCGGCGTCGACTACGTCTTCGTCTTCGTCGCCGGAGCCCGAACCGGTGTTAGTCGCCTGTTCCTCGATGGGCGTCGGTCCTAGCGTCGTCTCCGCCAACCTGTGCGTATTCGAGATATTCTCTATCACTGATCCTGGTTTTATGTCGCACGCCAATGGTTTCTTATTGAGCTTCAATTGCATCGCCCTCTTCCTTAGAGCCTGTAATCAATTATTTCGACTTGAATGACGTGGGTTTATTTGAAAGAACAAGTTGAACATCAAAAACGCTCGAAATATTGGTTGAGAAGGTTCAGATTAAACTATTTCTCCATTGAAACGAAAATATTGATTGACACTCGATTGTTCCTACTTTATTCTTGTGTGAATAGTACGATTTTGTTAACTTTGAGTCAAAATCTCAAATAATAGTGTTATGTATTAAAAATGTACACGTGTCACGGTTTTGTAAACTTTAAAGTGGTAATCATCATTGAAGTGTTTTTTGCATACATTGTAATTAATTTTCATTGAGTGTCGGGTGGTTCTATCATATAATTCTAACTATTTCAAATTATGAAAACACCAAGAGAGTCTTAACGTATTTTTATCTCAGTATCTAGAATGGGTGGAAAAAAATTACTCTTCGTAATTATTCTTTGTAAAACATTTCCCTTCTCTCATTCATTACTTTCTGAAAAGTCATTCTCAAAAGAGCCATACCCATTCTGAAGGATTATGGAATAGGTAGAATTGGAACTTTCAGTATGAAATGTACGTCAAGAGAAGTGCTTTTAGGTTAGGTTAGGTCAGAAGAGATTGGGTCTATTCGACTCTCCACCGCTATCCGCAAGGGTTTATTGTGGCTCACACCTATTCACAGTCGACCAAATAAACCCAGTTTTTTTGACGAAGCCAATTAGTTTATATGGTGGGTGATCTTTCAGGTCAGATGGTAAAAGTGTGGTTCTACCACAATCTGTGAACCTGGTTTGGTCCGCAGCGGGGCAGAAAAAAGGTATATGCTCTGATGTTCCATCATTTCCCAAACAGAGGGCGACACACACTGCCTTTCGACAGTCTGAGTCTCTGCAAATGCTGATTCAGACGATAGTGACAGAAGTCTTTGAATCTTCTCGCCATCCAGGTGCTCAATTTTCATTTGGCAAAACCTGAAGCAATACCAATGACAGGTTCTGGTCCGATGAAGCTGCAAGGGAATCAGCAGTCTCATTGCCTTCCAGGCCAGTGTGGCCAGGAATCCAAACAAGAGGCAATTTATTGAGTCTTCCTATTGACGAGAGTCGTTTGAGGTTGGATTCTACGAATCTCTCCGCACACAATTCAATAGTATAGATTTCCGCTTGGAATACAGTCGTATAGGTCTCTAAGCAGGTTGGTATCTCTGTCCTGGGTCTGCAAGTGAAAACACCTGCACCAGAGCCTGAAGGTGTTTTCGATCTATCTGAGAACCGATAACTATCTGCTCTTGATATTTCCTTCTTCCAGAGGATCGATTCCTCTCTACTTGAGTATAAGGCAGTTCGTATTTGACAGTTGGAGGCATAATGTCACAGGTCATTTCCAGAATGCTGGGACGCCTAGTGTCAATCAGCAGTCTAGTGTACTCTGCATTAGACTTATAATATGCATTCCATCTAGCCTCTCTCTTCGGAAAAATGTGGAGTGGAGATAGATCTAGGATAATCTTTATGGCCACTGACGGTGTGGTACTGATGGCACCATAAATAGTCAGACAAGCCTGTCTCTGTAAGCCAGAGAGCTTGGCCTGAACTTTTTTCTGTAAAACTTTAGGCCACCAGGCAATTGCTCCATGAGTGATTGTCATTGGTCTGACAATCATCACATATATTCGATGGCTTTGTTTGGGACCTGAACCTCAAGTTTTACCGCAAATCTTCCCACATGCCCATAGGGACAGTCTGGATTTGTGTAAAACTTTTTCCAAGTGAGCGTTCCATGTGAGTTTTTTATCAAGGGCAATGCCAAGATATTTCACTTCCGTTTCAAATTGAATGACTTCATCAATGAGGAAAAGTGGCATTAAATTGTCCATTTTCTCCTTCTGGTGAAGGGAATTATCATAGTTTTACTGGGATTGGCAGACATCTGTTCCCTCTGGCACCAATTGTGAACCACGTCCTTCGTACTTTGGAGTAAATTACAAGCTACCCTTCACGACTTGGACCCTGCCAAGATGACAAGGTCATCTGCATAAGATTGCAGATCTACTTTTTTCTAAGGAGGGCATCAAGCATGCTATCCATCAGGAGCGACCACAAAAGGGGAGATACTACCAGGGCAGCTCTGTTTAGTTACAGTTATGTTTACCAGCATGGCATAGATCTATCCACTTAAGGTTGAACCTATGCCAACTCCAGCCAGGGCTGATCCTTTAAATTCAGGCAGTGCGTTGTCGAATGCTTCAATATCGAGGAATACAGCAATCATAATCTCTTTGTTGTCAAGGGATTGAAAAATTTCCTCTACAAGGTTGTTTAATGCCTAATCTGTCAATTTTTCGGTTTGATATGCATACGGTTGGTTATTTGAGAAAGCTACATATAAAGCTACTTTCCTGTTGTGCCCTTTCAGTATCCTCTCAAGTCCTTTCAACAGGATGGATGTAAGGCTGATTGGTCGTACCGATTTGGGGTGTGGCTCTTACCGACCCACTTCAGGTATATATACAACCCTTGCTGCTAACTAACTGGTTGGTATGTAGGAGTGTGGTAGTTCTAGTGTTAACACATTTTTTCATTGGTTTGGAGAACGATAGCTTCAATACTGATCTGACCTCAATATATGACGACAAATTTTGATATACTCCCCGAAATGAGCTGAAATCGATATAATGAAGCATTGATTATCTCGATATCAGTACAATATTCTCTTTGTAACCGTTGTTGACAGCAATTTGTTTGATTAAACTCAATTTCGAATATTACTTTCTGACAGTAGAATATTCATTAGTTTGTGAATCATACTATTGCTTCTTTACGCTGATAGGCATTTGTTAGGGAATCACATATGTCCGTATAAAATGGTCTGTGGTAAATGGCAACAAACATACTGTTTATTATGAGTTTCAGAAATAGTCAAGTCTGAAAAATGTACTGATTTAATTTCCATTTATTGGTTGGTTTCACCTTCAACAGTAAAACATACTGAGATATCATCTACATATCTATATCAGTATAAAAAACTGTTAATCAACTGATCATTATGAATTTCATTCTTAAAGTTATCCATATGATATTTAGCTTGCAAAAGACTCAACGGATTTCCAATTATAATTCTTCCATTCATTACATCGTTCATAGATGCTATTTTTTAATGCAGTTACTCGAATTGTGAATTGATAATAATCATAATAATCTTTCTGTTCCATTTCAGTAAGTATTATATGACATTGGATGAATCAGGTGAAAACATGAATATTTCAAAATATCAATCGACGGAAAGATTGTGCCGTAGAGATAACAAATATTAATGAAGTTACCGTTACCATAACTGTCAGAGGAAGTAAATATAACTCACCTTGAATATATTATAATACAAAAAAACCATGATGGTACATGGAATGTAAAACGACGAAAGACTTGAGTAAATTAAAAAATCGCTATTGTAGAATAGGCAAGCGTCCGCTACTCTATCCGGAGTATTATTCAGTCCCAATACAATTGGAGAGCCTATCGCCGCAGATATCACCCAAACGAGGGCTATCGTCAGCCACACTCTCCTTGTATTCTTGTGTTTCGCGTATTTGATTGGTTGCGTAACTGCTATATATCTGTAACAAAGAAAAAAACATGAGTAAGTTATCGAAACGATCACTGGAATACAAAGAACAATAAATTAAGGTACACGAATTGGGAAAGAGGTCAAGAAACAACTTTTAGTTAGTACATGTCACCGCTGCGTATTATAGGATGTTTTATCTTAGCCCATTTTACTAAATCCAACGTTAATGCCTTGAAATACAATTTTTATCGAACGTTATCCAAGTGATTTAATAACACTGGACTTTTAGAAAGACGATCAATGTTATGAAACCGGATATTCATGAGTCATATAAACACCTGCAGGAGATGTGATAATTTGGTAACATGAACATTTTCTGGAGTGTCAAAAAGTTCATTTATTTTCGAATAATGTTGTATTGATATAGACACCTATACTAAAGATCTGTCTGCTTGACTTGCATGCAGATGCTTGTAGATGAAATTACACGAAAAAAAAACGGTAGATTATAAAATATTCAAAAACTGCCAAACGCATATAAACACGAATCAAAACCTTAGAGAGTGACTGTACAATCGATATACAAAAACTCTTGATCTCAAACCACCAACACTGACAAAAAAACTTGTCAAGTTGACTTGGGTGTCACACCAATAGGTGGTTCCACTTATGTTTCACTTGTGTTTCACGCATATATATATATTATTATTAACAGGGTCTCTCAGTCAAAAAATCAAAAATCAAACTCTGCTTTACTCTGCCAAGCTTTCGCTTCTAATTCTTATGGTTCGGTAGCTATAAATTATTTGAATTGAAAACAAGCCACCCTGAATAACTTTTGGAACAACGATTTTCAGGAAAAATAAAAAAATGCCACATTCACATCTGATGTTACTTTCCCTATCGCACCCCTAGAGCATGTCACCATTTTTTTAATGAATCAATTGTTTTGTATTATCAGATGTTGAACAGAGTTCAATAAAGTAGAATACATTATGGTCTGGGGCTCATAGTTTGGCAGATAAAAATTATTTGAGTTGAAAACGAGCAACCCTGAATGAACTTCTGTACAATCTGTTACCTAAATTTCATAGGTGTTTTTGTTAAGTATACTTCAAAAAAGTCTTATTTTGCCTAGTTGAGTTTGAATTCGATATTCTCTTCATTTTGTATTAGTCTCATTCTACAATAACGATTACCTACTAGGTGAAGTTTCAATTGGTGTTTCTGTTTTTGTGAATTCTTAAGAAGCAATGGTTTATACGCTTCGAAAACGAATTGAAATAGTTACTTTTAGCTATCAGAATGAAAATAGTGCTAAAGCTACTGTCTGCATGTTCAATGATAATCATCCAGGAAGAAATGTACGACACAAATACGTTTCGGAATTATTGAACAAATTTATGGGAACTGGATCTGTTAACAATAAAAAGCATAACCGGTCAGGATCAACGATGAAGCTATTTGTACTGCAGTTTAAGGGCACGTTAGACTAATGGAAAATTGGCAATATCTTACTGAGTTATCTCGAGAATCAGGAACCAGTCGTACAAATGTTTTCAAGATCCTCCATAAGTACAAATTTCATCTATATAAGATTACACTAGCTCATGAATTAAACGAAGAAGATTTCGATTGACGTATCGAGTTTTGTGAAATTCTCACTGAACGGATCATCTTCCATCAGAATTTCTTGTATGAAATTTGTTTTTCGGATGAATGTAAGTTCAGTTTGAATGAAGAAGTGAATCGGCAAAATTGTCTATATTTGAGTGATACGAATCCTCATTTATACCGTCAAGATCATACCCAACGACCTCAAAATCTGAATGTTTGGGCAGGAATTTCAGGTGACCACATCATAGGACCGTTTTTTATCGATAATAATTCGACTAGTGGCTGTATGGCCATGTAAAAATAACGAAAGCATTTTAGTTTATCGTGAAACAACTTCAACGTCATCCACAGTTTTCACGGAAACACATTTCTATGTGAACCTTAACCTATTGTCAGCCCTCTTTTCGATCCAACCTACGTGTCAAAAATTTCAAATCGGGAATTATAGTTGAGCGACACCTAATTTCGAAAGTCTCTAAACTCGATATACAACCCTGTAAAATTTTGACATAACAATAGTAAGCAATGTCAGAAAAAAATACCTTTCGAATGAATTCTATTTATAACTTTTTTACTGACAGATTAACTTCGAACTTTTTTTACCGGCAGATTAATTTTATTAACACAATTGAAAATTAACAAAAATTAAGAGAAAAAAGAGAAAAAAAAAACTACTCAAAAGTTCTTCTTCGTTCTCTCCTGTTCATAAAGAGGACATATGCCTCCTCACTCACAAGCGACTTAGGTGAAATTGGGGACACATGTGAATCGTTGTATTCATGCCACTATATGGGTGTCTGCAATATGCTGTGTAACGCCCATTGTGAGTAGTCCCACTGTGATGCGAAAGTGCATATAGATTATATCGACAAGGGGCCACATTGTCTGCTGCATAATTGCTCATATCTAATCCTTCTAGAGAAAAGTCGGTGACAACATTTAATTTGTCTCTGAATCTTTCCGTTGGAGATAATCTTTTTAAATGAATTACTAAAATACGGGGAAATTTATGGACTGATAGGGACTTTGTGCATTTTCTCCTTTCCTTGCACCTCAAAAACGTTAGTTTTTCATCTCCATCCAAAGTTTCCTCTCTTGAAGGAATCCAAGCATTGTAACAAAATCAATTGGTCAGTTTTTTGTGGTATGGAGAGAGACAAATCTCAGAAAGGATCGAAGGTTACTGAAGAGTGTCCACAGTGTGTGCACTTCATATTGGATTTTAATTGACCAACAAAATTGTCTACAATTTTAGAGTTGTTCATGTTTAAATATCTCAGCCAGGACTCTTGCGCTTTTCCGCTGTCACTCANTTTCATTAGTCATCGATACCTACATTATAAATCCAACCATCATCCAAAACAGGAGCGAACCTTCAATAACACTCTATGTGGAAAAAAGTACGTCTACGATGGAATAGAACACCTAACAACTGTGTTACAAGCGAACGGCTACAACAGAAAAGACATAATCTGTGCTACGGGAGACGAAGAGGAATACCAGTGGGGAGCTACCCCAAGGCAATGTCTATCTACCATACATAGAAAGTGTCACCAACCGATTCGGGAAAATTCTTGATAAGGAGAAAATTAACACCTTTTCCAAACCAACGAAAAGAATATCGGAGTGTCTGAGATCAGCAAAAGAAAGAAGAGATCCACTCAAGTTTGCGGGAGTTTACAGGATTCCACGTAACAGTGGTGAAGTTTAAATCGGTCAGACAAAAAGGAGCATTGATACCCGCCTAGTCGAGCACAAATGGAGTTGCCGATAGGAACAGAGCAAAAAGTCTGCAGTCGCTGAACATGCATTGTCCAACCAAGATCTTTTTTTAAAATACCGAGATGCTAGCCATAGAAATACACAAACACCAAGAGAACTTCAACAGAAAGGAAGAGAGAACATATCCATATCAAAGATCTGGCACACATCATTGAATTGCGCCAAAACGAAGTCATGTCACTCAAATCGCGCGGAAAGTATGCGAGAAGTCGCAATTATAGAAAGTGCGCAAAAAATCAGCACATGCCAGAAATGAGAGCTTCAGTTTCAGTTGATACGTCAATAAGGGTACTTCGACCACACCACTGAAGATGACTGCCGCAGTTGTAGTTGAAACGTTTGGAAATTTTAATCAAAGAAGATCACGGCAAAACCCGTGAACCAACCAAAATAATAGTCCTTGAATTCAAAGCAACTTCGACTGTACTTTGCAATACAATATACCTACTTCACATTTCGAAAGTGGACAATTCAGAATGAAAAATTCACTGAGCAGGGATTGGGCAACATTGAAATTTCAGAATACAACAGATGAAAAGTTGATGATGAACAGACATCTGGAGAACATACTTGGCAGAAACAAACAAACGTGTCAAAAATCGAACTGGAACTGGAATATACTCTGCAGGGTGAAATTTACATACATGACCATCCATCAAGCTATTCGCTTGATGGATGATCATGTGTCTTTTGTTTGCAATCATACAAAGCACAATATACAATAATTAAAGGATTCAACGTGATGAACAGATCAAAATCAAATTATAGTTACAGACATCTAGGATGCACTGCATTCATGCTTGTTATAACCTACTTTTAGTGATTTTACTTTTGTGATTTCATGTATATGTTATTTATATTTCGCACAAGGCTTTGTCAATAAGAATTTATTCTGCAGACAATAAAGTATATTAAAAAAAAAGGGGCCAAATACACCGAAAGTTTCTACAGCCACAGGACAAAATATAAAGTTATTTCCAACATTTCGATACTTCTTTTGCTTTCTCATTGGGTGAAGTGGCAGCACCTGTAGTTTTAGACGTTCCAGCTGAATGAGATGGAGCCACTGTGTCCGCACATGTGTAATCCCAAACGACAGCTTCGCCACATTTTCAGGGAATAAGCCTCATTCCATCAGGCCTTTTGCCATCATCACGGCTGATTCCTAGTGGTTCTAGGATAGAAAGTATCCCGTCTGATATCAAGGCCCTTTTTATGATGTCGTTGACTTGGTGATGTCTTTGAAAGCGTCCATAACTTCTTCTGCACCTCAATCCATGAGTACCTTTTTCATTTACCTCACTACCACAAATACATTTATGAGGGGTACAAATATCTAAACCAACTAGAACTAGAAAGTGAAACTGAACAGAAAAATTTAAGAAAAAAATTAGTGGATAGTCACTAACATGAAGTTATTGAAAAACGGGTAGTTCACCATACGAACAATAACGGATAGAGTTAGGTAATACTGACAGGTAGTAGTAAGTTACTACTAACAGGTAGTAATTTGGCCACTAGCATATAAAAACACTCACATTGTAGTGAAATTCAGTAATAATGATATCCTGAGGACGCTAACTTGGTTAGCGAAACGCACGTCGAGAGACCGTAATTTTGTTCTGGTGTTGGGAAAGTGTTTTCATTAGGAAAATTCACTTTATCAAATGATCAAACTGATCACCATTTACTAG